CCCACCATTAACAAAAAGCAATATTATAGTTATATAACTTTTCAGATGTTTTTAATTCAGTATTTTTTTTAATATTCTTCTAAAATTCGACCACTATATTTCCCTAAAAATCAAATAATACTGGTTTTATGTATTTCCGTATTCAACCTGTAGTCAATTCATGTTCCAGGGCCACTTGGTTTAGCCGTGCATTATCAGCCAATATACCATGGATTGCATATGCAAATTTTGTGTTTGGACCAATCAAATCAATGGATTAACGCCATCAATATACTGGTATAATATAATCAATGCTAACATATGGATCATCCATGGATAGATCCAAGGGCTTGAGGACCACCACTAAACCATGATTTGCAATTTACGACTTTACGATTTAGGGTTAAAGAAAGAAATAATATATTGTAATCTGTACCATACCATACTTCCTTTTTTCAACCCTGAGGTTACAATTACAATTTTTACAATGTTTTTTTTTCTACTACCTTGAATTTTATTCAATTAAACTCAATTAAAACACAACCTTATATATTTGCAAATTAATTGAGTTTAAATAAATTGCATTCCAAAATGGGATTGCACTTTAATTTAAAATTGCAAACTATAAATTGCAAATCACGATTTAGTGGTGACAGGTTTTAAGGGGGATTTGTACAAATCCAGTAAACCCATTATGGATCGGCTCCTGGTCACTGGTTAATATTAACATATTTGTTTTTATTTTCTTTCAACAGAAATGTCATATGTATCACAATGTGATGATGACAGTGGTAAAGTGCATTATTCTTACCTTATCATCAGTATTTTTGTCACAGCATTCATCGTTTCACTTATCACCTTTATCATCATGATGTGTTACCATAAACATAAACACATAACTAATCAACCCACTGATGATACGTACAGTGAAGAATACAAAGAATTAAAATTCAAAGAAGGCATACCAAATAAAGGTTTACGAATCAGTGTAGCAAGTAGTAATGGCAGTAATTACTATATACCATATTTACAATATAGTAGTAATATGACTGTTAATCAAGCTGAAAAAAAAAGAAGTTCCTACATTTCATCCAATTGTGAAACATTGTAGAAAAATCACACACCAATACAACATTCTAATCATGCCTTCTAGAAATGAAAGCTTTTATGACATACAGACCCCTCCCCTTAAGGTGAGTGATTGTTAGTAAACGATTCGTTTGCTCAAAATTTCACCCAGAGAAGCTAAACTGTGTTACCGGTATGTCTTTTATATAGATTAGACCTAAAAAAAAAGGTATGTTTCTGGTCAGTGTGCACACCACCAAAACAAAGTGCTAGCCGATCTTTTCTTTTTCACTTATTTTTTTTTTTGCCACTGCGAAGCCATCTGCAAAATTTGTGTCCTTTAAAATATTTTAACAAGAAAAGAAAACATCTTATTTTAAAAAAAAAAATTTGACCAGAAACATTTTTATTTTGTGAGACCTTACTTAAAAATTACTGATTTGTACTTTCATGCAGAGTTCTGTAAATGGGTTAATTATGCATTGGGTTTTATTTCACTGACAGGAAATTTAAACCCAGTGAAAATTAGTCATTTTACAGTACATTGGCTCTCATTGTGCTGTGTAAAATAATCAATAATGCATGAAAATATTTATCATGTTTCCATGAACTGGATAGCGGATATGCTGATCCCGTCTATTGTGTACATGAATGTTTACATAGCAACATATTTCAGTGATCTCATTCAATTCAGCCTTGCATCAAATGAACTGAATGCTAGCATTCAATAAAATAAAATTATTTCTTAGGGTCAATAATATTTCCTGTGACTGCAAGAAGAGATGGATCAGCCATATTGCAGTATGAGACACTGTTTTCCTTTTTGTGGCAACACTTTGTGTAATGTAGCTATTGTTAGCAAAACAGTGTCTTACTACAATATTCTGTTACATTCTTTCTTGCAGTCTTAGTAAGGGCTAAGATAAGTAGCATGTTGGAGTGGCGTCTCCAAAAAAAGAAACAAAAAAAAACATTTTTTTCTGTACACATCATCTACAGTTTAAAGAAACACTAACACAGCCAAATATATCAAGTAAATGTATGTATGTTTTGCACTGAAATGTGTATTATATACACATATCTATATAAATCTTTTTTTAGAAAACTAATATACTTCTAATATATAAATTAACCAAGTTTTTGTGATTAACCTATTACATAATCAGAATTAAGAAAAAAACATAGAGAAGGTTCTATGGAAATACTCACTGCCAAAATGTATAAATTCATCCAAGGTTTCTTAGTGTTTATTTTCATGTAAGTAGATTTTATGCTAAAGTTATTTATTAGAAAGGTGAATTTGTGTCGATCACATTTTCAGGCATAGTTAAATATTATAATCATATTATAGCATCTTGACATGAAAATATTATTGTTACTTTCTGTTAATTTTGGACCAAATTTTATAATTTTACATTTGAAGGTCTAATCACCTTACACAAAATCATTATCAACTAAAATGATTTAAATTGTTTTAATTGACAGTTGACAGCGTGAGAGCGAAGAAATAAAATATTTTAACTTGACAAAAATCACATGCACAAGCATGCAACATCAAATATAATCACAATGTTATTACTTCCAGTAGTTTCAGTAAATATGTGTAAAGTGATTAGCTATATGCAAATATTATTTTATTGTATTTAATAAAATCATTGTCAAAGTGATTCTCGCTTTTAACAAGATCTCAACAGCCATTTGCGACTTGAATGCATGGTATTCTAAAACTGTCTAAACCCTTTTAACATCAATACAAAAACTGATCAACTTCTGTAAAGAATGGGAAATTATATGCAATGGGTTAACTTGTTTGGAATATCTGGCTTCAACGTGACAAGACAAATCTTATAAAAATCATTCATGATACATCATTTTCAAAATTTGCATAATTAACTTAATATCAAATTTTAGAATAGAATAACAGTTTATGTGTGAATTATGAACACAGCTGTAACCTGGTAGATTAATTATTTGTATTGAACATATTAATAACATATAAATATATAATAATATAATTGATTGGAAAAATTTAAAAAAAAATTATAAAATTGGTTATAAAAAAAATTGTGAGAATTTAAACTTGTTAACATTAATTACTGTTTTTGTTTTTCTTTTGTTGAAATGATATTTATATATCTTGTGATTTTGTTTTTAAATTTTTGTCAGTTTTTCGTTGCAGGCATTTATGTGCAGGATGTCCTGACATCTGCAAAATGCCTTGCTGTAGATTATTTTATGAACAGAACTTTGTTTTCCGCTCAGACATCGGCCGTCCCCTGTATTGGCTTGAATCAGTGAGTTAGAAATATGCATGTTTATGCTGCTCTCAACTTTTTATAATACCGTATTTATCCGGGTAATCGCCCAAGATCCTGAACAGGTATCACTGCACATCTCTTTTCGTGAGTGAGTTCACATTTGCTATGTAACAACAAATTAACAGACACTTATCTTAGCTAAAGTGCCAACAATCTCATTGTGAGAATATATATTTTTTTTAATTAGCAACATCTTGAATTAGCAAAATTGCAGATTAGCTAAATTAGCTAAAATTAAATGCTAGCAAAAAAGACAGTAAATATTTTAGTGGTCTTTGTTATATACAATACTTCCTCTATGTTCATGTCTTAATTCTGTGTGTAACAGAGAAACTAATATGAATGAAAGAAATCCTTTTATTGTATTTTTATACCTTGTATATTCTTCAGAATAAAAAAAAAAAATACTTTTTTTTTCCACATGTACTGCAATAAATTTTGTTTATTCTGATAGACTGTAGGACCATACAGGGTTGAAAGCTTTTTAGTTCATATTAAAATATAGTATTTCATCATATGCAAATTTGATATTTATTGATTTTAATTGTCACTCTCTTGTATTCTGGATATTCATTTGAAGCATGCTGAAACAGATTTCTAATCAGTATTTCTTTCACCCAAACACCACACGAGTTGCTTGCCTGATTACTTACTTTATATTTTTCAATAAAGTAATTATTTTAAATATACAATACATATAGGTTTGTTGCTGTCTATATATTTGTTGTTGTATATCTGTATGCACTTGTTGATTGCAAGACTGGAGATGCTGAATTTTTTGAGTTACGGATACGAGTTACTGTAAAATCTGTAATAGAAGCCGCGGCTTCTATTAAAATACAATGCGGTTTCTATTTGAGCATCTACACATATGAGAAATAATGTATTTTTGGTTCTCAATTGTTCAAAAAGAACGGGTGCGACTTCTATTAGGGATGCGGCTTCTAATACAGATTTTACGGTACAAAACATTGAGTTACAAAAATGACTATGCCCCTATTTTAGAAATCATGCCAACTTTTGCAATACCACGTCCAAATTATACCTCAATGTTCAATGTTAGCAAAAAGTTACGAGCAACATATATTGATGTTTAAGTTGAACGTCCACATTTAGTACCCAAACATTAATTAACAGTTAGCCAAGTAATAGGCAACATAAATTTTTTTGTTTGGTTCAATGTTGTATGTTGCTCATAACTCGAAGTTCAGTTAACTGTTAATTAAAGTTTAAGTTACGAAATGCGGATGTTCAACAAAAACAAAAATGTATGTTGCTCGTAACTCAAAGTTCTGTTAAGTAATTGAACTTAGAGTTACAATTCGGACATGGTTTCGCAAAAGTTGGATGGGTATGGTCATCTTTGCAACTTGATGTTCGTAACTAGATGTAACTTGAACAAAAAACCATAAGCTAATAATAAACAACAATACGGTAAATGCTGAACATGGATTGTTGATTTGTCTTATTATAATTATCCAAATTTATTCAACATTCACACAGTGATCCCTCTACAATAAATGCCTAGCATGAATAGTCAGTTTGTCTTATTAGCCATGCAAATTTATTCAAAAGTCAAAGTGTTGACTGACGCCTTTAAAATAAATGCCTAGCATGGATGGTTGGTTTATCTTATTAGCCATGCAAATTTATTCAAAAGTCAAGTATTGACTGACGCATTTAAAATAAATGCCTAGCATGAATAGTCAGTTTGTCTTATTAGCCATGCAAATTTATTCAAAAGTCAAAGTGTTGACTGACGCCTTTAAAATAAATGCCTAGCATGGATGGTTGGTTTATCTTATTAGCCATGCAAATTTATTCAAAAGTCAAGTAATGACTGACGCCTTTAAAATAAATGCCTAGCATGGATGGTTGGTTTATCTTATTAGTCATGCAAATTTATTCAAAAGTCACTTGTTGACTAACACTTTTAAAATAAATGCCTAGCATGGATGGTTGGTTTATCTTATCCATGCAAATTTATTCAAAAATCAAGTATTGGCTGACGCCTTTAAGGTAGCGGGACTATTATTTGCATACTTGTTTTCATCTTCTAATGTGACTAAATGACTACAAATAGACCCAGGAAAGTATATATTTTTAGAATTGCCAGACTTCAAGCTTTTCACAAGTGTAGTTTGCATGCCCGTATCTGCATTCTACGACGCATTACTCAATCAAAGGTGAATCTGTAAAAAAAAATAATTACGCATTTATGCTGGCGATAAGA